CCATTGGGTGACCGTGGGTGGTCTGTGTGACCCGTGGGTGACACTGTGACTCCATGGTGACACCGTGACCCCCTGGTGACACTCTGGGTGACACTGTGACCCCATGGTGACCCCGTGGGTGGCACTGTGACCACCTGGTGACACTCTGGGTGACACTGTGACCCTGTGGGTGGCACCGTGACCCCGTGTGTGTCTGTGTGACCCATGGGTGACACCACGACCCCGTGGGTGGCACTGTGACCCCATGGTGACACTCTGGGTGACACTGTGACCCCATGGTGACCCCGTGGGTGGCACTGTGACCACCTGGTGACACTCTGGGTGACACTGTGACCCTGTGGGTGGCACCGTGACCCCGTGTGTGTCTGTGTGACCCATGGGTGACACCACGACCCCGTGGGTGGCACTGTGACCCCATGGTGACACTCTGGGTGACACTGTGACCCCATGGTGACCCCGTGGGTGGCACTGTGACCACCTGGTGACACTCTGGGTGACACTGTGACCCTGTGGGTGACACCGTGACCCCGTGTGTGTCTGTGTGACCCATGGGTGACACCACGACCCCGTGGGTGGCACTGTGACCCCATGGTGACACTCTGGGTGACACTGTGACCCTGTGGGTGGCACCGTGACCCCGTGTGTGTCTGTGTGACCCATGGGTGACACCACGACCCCGTGGGTGGCACTGTGACCCCATGGTGACACTCTGGGTGACACTGTGACCCCATGGTGACCCCGTGGGTGGCACTGTGACCACCTGGTGACACTCTGGGTGACACTGTGACCCTGTGGGTGGCACCGTGACCCCGTGTGTGTCTGTGTGACCCATGGGTGACACCACGACCCCGTGGGTGGCACTGTGACCCCATGGTGACACTCTGGGTGACACTGTGACCCCATGGTGACCCCGTGGGTGGCACTGTGACCACCTGGTGACACTCTGGGTGACACTGTGACCCTGTGGGTGGCACCGTGACCCCGTGTGTGTCTGTGTGACCCATGGGTGACACCACGACCCCGTGGGTGGCACTGTGACCCCATGGTGACACTCTGGGTGACACTGTGACCCCATGGTGACCCCGTGGGTGGCACTGTGACCACCTGGTGACACTCTGGGTGACACTGTGACCCTGTGGGTGGCACCGTGACCCCCCGTGGGTGGTCTGTGGGTGACACCATGACCTCGTGGTGACCCTGTGACCCCATGGTGACCCCGGGGGTGACACTGTGACCCTGTCCCCGTGTCCCCAGCGCTGAAGGACGAGCGCTTCGAGCTGGGGGTGACCATGGGCGGTCTGTGTGTGTCTGTGTGACCCGTGGGTGACACCGTGACCCCGTGGGTGGCACTGTGACCCCATGGTGACACTCTGGGTGACACTGTGACCCTGTCCTCGTGTCCCCAGCGCTGAAGGACGAGCGCTTCGAGCTGGGGCTCTGGGGTGACCATTGGGTGACCGTGGGTGGTCTGTGTGACCCGTGGGTGACTGGTCTGTGGGTGACACCATGACCTCGTGGTGACCCTGTGACCCCATGGTGACCCCGGGGGTGACACTGTGACCCTGTCCCCGTGTCCCCAGCGCTGAAGGACGAGCGCTTCGAGCTGGGGCTACGGGGTGACCGTGGGTGATCTGTGTGTGTCTGTGTGACCCATGGGTGACACCACGACCCCGTGGGTGGCACTGTGACCCCATGGTGACACTCTGGGTGACACTGTGACCCTGTCCCCGTGTCCCCAGCGCTGAAGGACGAGCGCTTCGAGCTGGGGGTGACCATGGGGGGTGGTTCTGAGTGACCCTGTGACCCCATGGGTGACACTGTGACCCCATGAGTGACACTGTGATCCCATGGTGACACTCTGGGTGACACTGTGACCCTGTGGGTGACACCATGACCCCGTGGTGACACTCTGGGTGACACTGTGACCCCATGGTGACCCCGTGGGTGACACTCTGGGTGGCACTGTGACCCTGTGGGTGACACCACGACCCCGTGGGTGACACTCTGGGTGACACTGTGACCCTGTCCCCGTGTCCCCAGCGCTGAAGGACGAGCGCTTCGAGCTGGGGGTGACCATGGGTGGTCTGTGTGTGTCTGTGTGACCCGTGGGTGACACCGTGACC